AAAAAAAACAAGTTGCTAGCACTCTGGAAGGCCAAGTCAGGTGGATCACTTGAGTTCAGAAGTTCGAGACTGGCCTGAGCAAGAGTTAGACCCCATGTCTACTAACAACAACAACAAAAAAACACCAAATAGGACAGTGCCTGTGGCTCAGTGAGTAGGGCACTGTCCCTATATACCGAGGCTGGCGGGTTCAAACCTGGTCCTGGCCAAACTGCAACAGAAAATAGCCAGGCATTGTGGTGGGAACCTGTAGTCCCAGCTACTGGAGAGGCTGAGGCAAGAGAATCAGCTAAACCCAAGAGCTGGAGTTTGCTGGGAGCTGTGATGCTATGGCATTCTACTTAGGGCTACAAAATGAGACTCTTGTCTTTAAAAAAACAAAAAACAAATAGAAAAACTAGCTGGGCATGGTGGAACATATCTGTAGTAACCTGCTACTTGGGAGGCTTGGGCAGAAGGTCATTTGAGCCTAAGAGTGTAAGGTTGGGTTGAGCTATAATGCTGCCACAGCATTTTATCCAGGATGATAAAGTGAGACCCTATCTCAAAAAACAAACATTTGTGGTCTCAACTAAAGCAGGTCTTAAGTAAACATTTATAGCTTTAAATGTAAAGTTAGGGGCAGCACCTGTATCTCAGTGGGTAGGGCGCCGGCCACATACACTCAGGCTGGCGGGTTGAAACCCTGCCCAGGCCAGCTAAACAACAATGACAACTATAACAAGAAAACTGGGCATTGTGGTGGATGCCTGTAGTCCCAGCTACTAGGTTGGCTAAGGCAAGAGACTCACTTAAGCCCAGGAGGTAGAGGTTTCTGTGAGCCACTGCACTCTACCCCGGGCGATACAGTGAGACCCTGTCTCAAAAAAAAAAAAAAAAATGTGGAAAAATACATCACCAATATCAAGATAAAACAAAGAACAGCACTGCAGATATTTTAGATATTTTGTGTTGATGAATTTGAAATTGTTTTGAAATGGAAAAACAACTAAAATTAATACAAAAAGATGTCAAAAATATGCATGGTTATGTACATAATTTAAATATGTAGTCATGGCTGGATGTGATGGCTCACAACTGTAATCCTAGTACTGTGAGAGGCTAAGGTAGGCAGTTAACTTGAGGCCAAGAATT